AAGGGGTTACATTCGTGAAAAGATTTACCAGGCGCCAAAGACTGACGTTCAGAATAAATACCTACTTATTTTCCTTTTCATCTCCTTCAGCACCCAAATCAGTTAAAGTAGGATATTGTAACATTAATGTTGAACTCTACATTCCAAACCCATTAAGATGTTTCAAATGCCAGAAATTTGGCCATGGGGCAAATTCCTGCAAAAACAAAATTACTTGTGCACACTGTAGTCAAACTTCTCATGTTACAGAAGATTGTAACAGTGACGTTAGAAAGTGTCAGAACTGTTCTGGAGCACATTCCTCATCAAGTAAAGCCTGCCCAGTATGGAAAAAAGAAATGAAAATAAGCAAAATAAAATGTACGAAAAACATCTATTATACTGAAGTAAAGAATCCTGAAACTCTCTGTCTAACTGATTCCTGCACACAGACCCCTGCTGATACGTTGCCAGCTGAACTGACTCCTGAATCGTCATCACCAAGTCAACGATCAGGATCGCACGATGATTCTGCACCAAACTCACAATCCAGCTAAGACAAAACTGTGTTAGCCAGATATAAAATACACTCTTCCCGAAACAATCACACGGGTAGTGTATTAAAAGATTCAGATAATCCCTTCAAACTTTTGATCACTTGAAGGGATGGATGTTTCAGAAAGCAACCCTTGGAGGACAACAAGTTTGTCGACTAACGTAATGGGCGAGCGACATGTCCAGTTAATCCGCCTAAGAGATTAATAGTTCTAAAACTGATTCAATAGAATTGCACAGGACTGACGAATGACTTCAATGAAATACAATTACTCATACAAGATCTTCAACCGTCAGCATTTTGTCTTCAAGAGACTTATTTATAAAATACAGACACCATTAACTTGAGACAGTACACCGATTACCACCCATTTTCTCCCCCAGGAGATAAAACAATTGGAGGTGCTTCCATTTTGGTGCGGCAGGGTATAATACATAGCCCTGTCCCTCTTGATACCAGTCTCCAAACTGTAGCTGTTCGTTTGACCCTGCACATTGCAATAACGCCGTGTAGCTTGTATATCCCTCCTTCTTCTAATATTCAATCAGACCTTCAAGATCTGTATGATCAATTTCCGAAACCATGTCTCATTAACGGACACAACCCGCTTTGGGGAAGTGTCCACACTAATACCAAGAACACTAAGAAGACTAAGAAGACTAATACACTAAGAATTTATGTATTTTAAATGATGAACATATTCTTCCCTGGATCTGTCACTCGCCGATTCAAACTTATATAATGAATTCGAATGGATGGTCCATGATGACTAATGTGGGAGTGATCACTTCCCCACCATTCTCAAAACAATTATACTCTATGCCATTGCTGACCAAACGATACCCAAATCCTCTGCAATTCCACATATTCGTAAACCTTGGTTTCATAATGTTAACATGCCATAAAGACAAGGAAGAAAGCTGAAAAAAGTTTGCCGACATCCTACAGTCCATAATTTAGATAAAGTTAAAAATAATAAATGCCAAGGCTCGACGTGCTTTTAAACAAAATAAGGCATCAGTCTTGGAGGAGCTATGTTTCCAAAATACGTTCCCGTACACCGATTTCAAAGGTGTGGAAAATGATTCAAAGAATAAAAGGCAACGGTTCCAAATCTTCTGTTCAATATATTAACTGATGAGTTAGACATTGCCAACAAGCTTGGTGAAACTCTTCTTCGTCAAATTACGCTCCAGAATTTCAAAAACATCAGATTGTCTGAAACAATAGGAGAAGAAGCGAATAAATTTTAACTCAGACAATGGCGAAGACTAAAATGAATTATATTTATTACATGAGCTCCACACTGCCCTTGAGCAAGCTCATACACTATCAGCTCTTGAAACATTTACCTCCTGAATCTTCTTTGCAAACACTTCTAAATACTTTTGATACAATATGGACTTCAGGGAATTTCCAAACTTCATGGCGTAATGCCATTGTAGTCCCTATAAAAGCCTGGCCGGGATCATACGGATCCGTCTGATTACAGACCAACCTCTTTAACGAGTTGTGTCTGTAAAACCATGGAACGAATGGTAAACAATAGATTAACTTGGTATTTTGAAACAAATAACTTTATAACAACTATTCAATGTGGTTTCAGGAAAAATCGTTGTACCATTGATCATTTGGTACGTTTAGAATCCTTTGTTAAAGATGCTGTAGTACATAAACACCATGCAGTATCACTATTCTTTGATCTCGAGAAAGCATACGATACCACTTGGAAGCATGGCATTCTAAATGATTTACATGATTTGGGTTTAAGGGGTCGTTTATATCTTTTTATATCACAGTTTTTAACGGAGAGGCAGTTTCAAGTCCGAGTGGGGTCAACCCTGTCTAAACCCGTTAAGGTCTAGGTTAGAATATTGATCTTCAGTAACCTATGCTTGTCGTAAGAGGCGACTAACGGGATTGGGTGGTCAGGCTCGCTGACTTGGTTGACACATGTCATCGGTCCCAAATTGCGCAGATCGATGCTCTTGCTGCTGATCACTGGATTGTCTGGTCCAGACTCGATTATTTACAGACCGCCGCCATATAGCTGGAATATAGCTGAGTGCGGCATAAAACTAAACTCACTCACTCACTCAACCCTGCCTGATCATTACATTCAGGATCAGGGTGTTCCACAAGGCAGTATTTTGTCTGTCATATTGTTTAGTATCGAGATCAACAGTTTATCAAAGGTTTTAAATGATTCAATCGATGGATCATTATTTGTGCATGATTTTAATATTTCTTGTCGCGGTAAAAATATGCATGCTATTGAACGGCAACTGCAGTTGTGTTTAAACAAAATAAATAAATAAATGGTGTCTTGAAAACGGCTTTAAATTTTCTAAATCCAAAGCCAATTGTAAACATTTCTGCCGTAAATACAAACCGCATAAAGAACCTGAACTTTTTCTAAATGGCACCCCGATCAAAATTGTCAAGGAGGCCAAGTTCTTGGGTCTTATTTTCGATTCCCATTTAACCTTCCTGCCACATATTAAATCACTTAAAGATAAATGCCTGAAGGCACTAGATTTGTTGAAGGTTGTTTCAAATTCAAAGTGGGGAGGGGATCAAACTACCCTCCTTCACTTATATAGATCACTGGTGCGATCTAAACTTGATTATGGCTCCATTGTATATGGTGGAGCCTGCAAAAGCAGGATTCTGTCCACCACCAAGGCCTTAGACTTTGCCTTGGGCCTTTTAGAACTTCTGTTGACAGCCTCCATGTCGAGGCAGATGAGCCTTCTCTTACCCAACGCTGTATAAATGTATCTTTACAATATATTACAAAAATTATATTCTAAATAGTCTAACCCTGCATTTAACTGTGTCTTTAATCCTCTTTATGAGGATTTGTACAACAACAAGTTCCGTTGTTCCGCCTGTTGGGCTAAGAATTCAACCATTCATTTCTGCTGCTGGCATTGAGCTGGAAAATATATCTCCTTCCCGTCTTCTTTCTTCTCCTAATTGGCAGTTAGTGAGGCCACAAGTTGACCTAACATTGACAAAGTTTAAGAAATCAGAAACTAATGAATTACAATATAAACAAAAATATAATCAATTAAAAAGTAAATATAATACATGCAAATCCTTATTTACAGATGGACCCAAGGATGGTGGCGCAGTGGCTTGTGCTACTGTCGTTGGATCCAGAACAATATCTTCTCGATTACCAAATAACAGCTCTTCTTTTACAGCAGAAGCAAATGCAATACTAACAGCCCTTAAATATATCAATAGACACCAAATGAAAATAATACATCATATTTTCTTTTTGCCTTCAGGCTATAAGCAATCTATCTTGCAAACATCTACTCTTAATAGAAATTATTAAATTATATAATGATCTTGCAACTGGCAACGACATCGTCTTTTGTTGGCATTTCTGGGAACACAATAGCCGATCTTGCCGCCAAGGCAGCACTCAACAAATCTGTGACACCACTTCTTATTCCATTCTCTGATTATAAAGCTATCATCAGATCTTATATTAGTGATCTGATGCAGAAGAAGTGGGACACCCAAGTAGGTATAAATAAATTACATGAAATAAAACCCTATATTGGTTACACCTACCTGGGTTGTCAGTACAGATTTGAGGAGGTCATTATATTGGCCATTGGTTATTCAAGATATACACACGAATACCCTCGAAGTGGGTTAAAGTATAGTGAAATCATTGTCCTCCTGAGAGGGTACGTAAGTCCCAAAACTTTCAAAGTTAAATTTAAACTTACCAGATTTTTACAACGTAGTATTTTTGTTCTTTTAAATTTTGGCACAATATTTCCTACAATCACCAGCGGCTGAAGGGATGGTGTAAATCAAACTAGGTAGCAAAGGCACGTTAAGTCCCCATGGCCCCTAGTATGGTGATCTACCTTCAGTTGTTCGCGACCTATAGCCCATTTTGTTTATTGCATTGTCTTCGTAAATAAAATATGCTTTACATTTAATAGCTAGTTTTAGACACCATCTGTGATACTCTAGATATTTTACAGTCCTTCGATGACTGAGTATTTAACAACTTATATTAATTGTGTATGTAAAACCTTTCTCGTCACTATATGGCTGAAATATTGCCGAGGTGACGTTAATATTTTAACAACACTCACTCACTCACTCACTCACTCACTCACTCACTCCTATGTCAGGTTTCTTTTTTAAGAGCATATATTTATCTGGAAAGATGTATGTCGAATAGATATGCACATATTAATCTTTCCTGTCCCCCATGAAACTGTCAACATTATTCTGGTTATCATTAACAAGTCATGTGTATTTCTTCGGTTATGCTGCAGTGATATTGCTGGGATATTGTTAAAAGAAGAGTAAAACCTCACTCACTCACTCTTCGGTTTGGGACAAGTCAGGTCTTTAATTGTAGTTTATCAGCTTGAAATGGCTCACGATTCAAATCTTAAAATTAAAAATGTCTGCACATGGGAACCAACATTTGTCGGCAAGCAAATGTCATTTATTATTTAGAAGGATTACTGCTCCCGGTTGTGTGGTCCTCACGTAATAAGGTAATGTACATAATCCCGCCTAAAGTTGTTTAGCTAGCAATGCAGATGTGCGGTTTCTATAACTGTAATCAAATGTGGATTGAGAGAAAGCACTATATTTAGCTAACCTGATTAAAAAAAACTGAAACCGGTTTCACAAGACGATCTTATCGTTATGACTCAATTAGTTGCTATACTCTGACGTCATCAGTGAGTTAGGTTTAAGACGCTTTTGGTAGTTTTCCAGCAATATCACAGCCCGGCACTTCAGAAATGGGCGTCGACCATTGTGTTCATGTCGGGAAACGAACCCGGTCCCTCGGCGTGATGAGCTAACGCTTTACCCATAAGACTAGCACAGTGACTTAAGTCATAGATAGGACTGAATCACGTCATGTTCATTTACTTAACCAACACCTCTGCGCGTTTACGATGTAGTTGCTCATGATCAGTCGACAGGGATAGCATCGTTAGGTAGTCGACAGGGATAGCATCGTTAGGTAGTCGACAGGGATAGCATCGTTAGGTAGTCGACATGGTCCAGCCTCCGTTTACATCAGTTAAAGGGTTAATATAAACTCTTCAAAAAAAGAAACGCACAGTCCCAAGGTAAGGGGGTGAGGTGAGGTGAAATTGGGTTTAACGTCGTACTTGAGAATATTTCGCTCATATGACGACGTGCATTCGTGTGTATGTGTATGTGCGGCTGCTTGTACTAGCCCAGACTTAAGCTGGTTTTATAGTGCTAGCCCACTGAGATACCATGCCGCAGTGAAGCATGAATACCCCACTCAGACACATTATACTGACTCCGAGCCGACCAGTCCTTCTTGTACCCATTAATGCCGAGCGCCAGGCAGGGACCAACAAGTACCATATTTTAACGTCTTTTGGTATGACGCGGTCGGGGATCGAACCCGCGACCTTCCGGTCTCCGGGCGGACGCTCTAACCACTACACCACGGAGGCGCTATCACATTTGAGGCTTTTTGGTATTTATTACCCATATGGGAAGGAGTACATTCCCCGTCACTCGTTATTTATTGTCTAAATCCTATACCAATGTGAGTCAACACAACAAGCAGTACTGCTGAGCTATAATACGGCGGGATGTAAAGTATCGTATGACGTTGTTCTGGTGATCCATCACTGCTGACCACAGTCGTTTATCTACGGTTTACAGCTGACGTTGAGGTGTTTCCCAGGTGGTGCAATAGCTGACGTCATAGACGTTTTCCTGTTCACACATTCCACAGGCTATGACATAATTTATTTATTATTATAGGATATTTATATAGCGCACATATCCATGCACTAGTGCATGCTCAAGGGGCTGGTATTTTTCCCTCGATCATTGGATGTCAATATCAACTGCACATCGTATTTTCAATCTCAACTCCCTGGGGAGTATACAACTCTTGCAGCCACTAGGCGCACCGAGTTATTGTGGCTTTCTCATCCTAACGAGGTACCCATTCACAGCTGGGTGGACTGGGACACATAGTCACAGCACTTTGTCCAACTTCACTGCACGTTGCTGTACCCGCAACTAGGTGTTTGCACGTATTCATGTGGCCACCATCTGGTCATATACCAACGTATTCGTGGGTTCTTTTAAGTGCACAGGGTTGTGTACTGTACACTAGGGGTTGTGACAACACTGAAACCAGCACATATACGTAGGAAGTAACAGACAAATGAAGTATGTATACTGTTAAAGAAAGTAAGGGAACTATGGGAGATATATCGGAGCCAGTCAATGTTGATATGATAATAATGAACGTTTTGAGAGTGCATCACCACTTGCACTTCCTAATGACCATAGTCGTTTGTCTTGAAAGATGATTGGTGTACGACGTGAAATTTGCATGTGTACGATTTTCATTTTCAAACAAAAACCCGGCTAGAAACAAACACAAATAACTGTGTGATGCAAGATGATTGTCAAAATTAATGGTCTACAGTGATTTATCGACCTTCTTGAAAACCGTCAAAATCAAGAATGACACCCCATGCTACTGCACGTGTAAGGGGCTACTGCGTTGTGCACGTGCATCCCATGCGTTGTGTTGAGGGGTGGTGATAAAGAGAAATGGTGGTGCGTTCATAAGATGTCTGTCATTGAGAAGTTTGTTAACGCTTATACTTCCTATCCAAATTGAAAGTTCAGGTTCCCCTACTCTTTTGAAGAGCATATAATACAATGGATATTAATCAGCTCCTGTTATAGCAGCAATAACATCTGGTCCTCAGCAAAATATTTCTGTATAATACCTGACACAAAACTTTTCTATATAATACATGACACAAAACTTTTCTATATAATACATGACACAAAACTTTTCTGTATAATACATGACACACAACTTTTCTATATAATTCATGACACAAAACGTTTCTATATGATACATGACACAAAACTTTCTGTATAATACATGACCCAAAACTTTTCTATATAATACATGACACAAAACTTTTCTATATAATACATGACACAATCTTTACTGTATAATACATGACACAAAACCTTTCTATATAATACATGACACAAAACTTTTCTATATAATACATGACACAAAACTTTTCTGTATAATACATGACACAAAACTTTCTGTATAATACATGACCCAAAACTTTTCTATATAATACATGACACAAAACCTTTTCTATATAATACATGACACAAAACATTTCTGTATTATACCTGACACAAAGCTTTTCTATATAATACATGACACAAAACCTTTCTCTATAATACATGACACAAAACTTTTCTATATAACACAGGACCAAAAACCGGATAGTAAACCATTGAAATAATCGTAAATACAGTAGGAAATACATGCCATGACCGGATTTACGTATGTTTTCAGATATTCCCCTAACTTCGGGCATATATTTCATATGAATCTATACCTTTGAAACATATGCTCATCGTACATTTTCATATGCACAAGCACCTCGTTCATGTATGCCCTGACCGGATTGTTAGGGATTTCCAAACATGAATTGCAAAACAGATACCTCGGTACATACAGTATTTCCAATGCATTCCTTTGAATTTCAATGGGTGCTGAAATTTCCGATTTCGTTCTAAGTTTACTCGGGTTGGAAACATGTGAATTTACTTAGGTAGGGAAACACATGTAAATTTGCGAATTTGCAAATATTTACACACCTTAGATATTTATGTATCATACCGGATTTCAGGGGTATGTATATGAACGGTTCATACACCTTCATGTTACCTGTACTCAAGCAAGATGATCATATATATCCATCATGTGAAGTACTTGGTTCATGTAATTTACATTTTCACACGTTTTAATACGTTTGAAATCAACGTTCACATGACCTCAATATTCTTATCACCAAAAGAGCCTGACAAAGAAAGCAGTATTACGCAAGCTAACACGCCTTATCAAGCTGCACTCGCTCTTGCTACCAGTATCAGTTACGCCTTGTGTGTGGCGATGCGTTGCCCCTTTGTCCTCGCAAGTGTCCCTAGCTGTCCAAATAGAATAGCCCTTTCTCTCTTGGAGCACAGCCAAATATGCTACACGAATCAACTCGTAATTTCTTAAGTCTGTTCAGCTCGCACATCACTACTGTAAAATATTTTGTGGCAGTACATAATTGGAATATTATTGCACTGCATGTGACCTTCCTTAATAGTCTCACAGTGCCTGAACAATGTTATTTCTCCATTCGCTCAGCCTTTGCTGTAAAAACGCCATACATAAACTTTAAAGTTGTCCACATTTGTTTCACTAACGCAAAAGTATACGATAACAAACAATGCCATATCAAATGATATATTCTGTGAGACTTGAAATGAAAAATTGTTTTTATTGTGTAGCGATTATGACCGGATAGCACAGGCGGTTGCGTTCTCTGAGTATATCATAGGTATGTTGGATCTTTATGCCTTTTGTGAAATTCGTCTATATTGTCCTGTTTAAATTGACGATCCATAACTCAGATTGCGAGTAAATATCACGTAAGTAATTGTGATGTCGCATTGCTGTAAATTTCCCTGTCGGAGAAGTCATTCTCACTTGATATATATTCCCTTGTTTGGAGAAGATCTATGCCTATTACGCCCCAGTGTTGCTAAACATCGTGTAGGCCTTTAGTCTGACGCAGATGCAGACCTCGCATGTTCAAGTTCAGATCTGACAGGGGCTGAAAATATCATTCCGACATGAATACAATATCTCAGTGTTTTCCTAAGTAAGTGGGGAGATTTCTACAACATTGGAAATAACTGTATCGTTGTCCTTCTCATATTCCCCTGAACGAAAGCTCTACCCATTTAGGGTACAATGTATAAGTTATAGAATTGTAGGGAATAATCTTAAGACTTTTCTACTTTGACCAGGATTCTTCGAACTTGTAACAGTCGTTTGAGAAGATCAAAAGAGTAAAGGGTAGTGCGCGATGTATCTGACGGACGTACTAGTATATGGACAACGTTCGAAGAACTTTATAAATACAATAATAGAAATACCGGTTATGTTTAAAACGTACCCTCAATCTGATAGCCAGAGGGATTATTGTGAAAGATCGCAGTATGTATCATCATAAACGGGCCAACATAAAAGGACATGTCATTCATCCCCACATTATATCCCTCGTTGTTACATGTAGGGCAAAGTATATGCCGGTTTCTAAAGTATCTGCCGGTTTCACGCTACATATATGTGTTTAGATTATCGAAAAAACTAGCGACGCAAGTTCTCCTCCATCACACCAGAGACCACATAACCTATCATATGGCCTTTGATCACACATATAATTTTATAGATACCCAGTGTTTATTGATAGCGATGTTAACTTATCAAAATTTACGGCCGACAGTATCATCTGCATTACTCTCTTACATAAGGTGAAATATCACAGGGTTGTCATGGTAACGATAATTTGGCATACTATTTATTGTGATATTCTTTAATCTGCAATTAGAATTTAAATCAGTTTTGACGTGAACATGTTAATAAAAGAGAAGCTGTAAAACGAAA